AGTTTTACTATTATATGCCTTGGAGAAGGTCTTTTTGTATTGATGTAATCAGGAGTTCTATTGGCCTCATGTACTTGTAGGTTCAATTTCTCCCCAGATTTGGGAAGTTCTCAGCTACTATTTCTTTGAACAAGCTCTCTGCTCCTTTCTCCCTCCCTTTGCCCTCTGGTATACCTGTAATCCTTGTGCTACTTTTCCTAATCGAGTCAGACATTTCTCGAAGAATTTCTTGTTTTTTTTTTCAAAAAAAATCTTAGCTCTCTCTCCTCCTCCACCTGAAGCATTTCTGCATTTGTGTCTTCTAATTCACTAACTCTGTCCTCCACAAGATCTGCTCTATTTTTTATGGTTCCTACATTATTTTTTATCTCATTAATTGTGTTCTGCATATCCGGAATTTCTGTATAGTTTTTTTAAGGGCTTCAGTCTCTTTGGTGACGTATTCCTTGTGTTCATTAATTTTACTCCTGAGCTCATTGAACTGTCTTTCTGTGTCTTCTTGTAACTTGTTGAGTTTGTTTATGACAACTATTTTGAATTCTCTGTCATTTAGATTGTAATCTTCTGTGACTTCAGGTTTGGTTTCTGGAGACTTGTCATTTTCCGTCTGTTCTGCTGTGTTACTGTAGTTCTTCATGGTGTTTGATGAATTGATCCCCTGCCGGAGCATTTGTGGTAGTATCAGGTCCCAGATTCCACGTGCCACCTCTAGGGGGGCAGGAGCTGTGTTTTCTGATCCCACTCCCCCTGCTGGTAGTTGTGCTGGCTGAGCCACTCTGTGTTCCTGCGGGCTGGCCACAGTCGCTCAGCAGGTCACACTCACATGGGCTGGTGCTGCACACATGGGTGTGTCCCACAGTCTGCTCTGCTCAGTGGGTGGGGCACCTTCATGTGTGCTGAGCTGCTGCCACTTGGTGGGCCACATTTGATGGGCAGAGCATCTTCCTGTGGCCTGGGCACTGCACTCAGTGGGCAAGTCCCATAGGCTGTTGTGCTCAGTGTGCAGGGCAACTTTTTGAAGGCTGGCACTGCACTTGGCAGGTGGGCTGCCTTCGTGGGGGCTGAGTTGTTCCACTCAGTGTGGAGTATTGGCATGGGCAGGGCTGCCATGGCACAATGGGTGTTCCCACGGGCACGGCTACCACTCCAAAAGCATTTGCCTGTGGGCTGGGCTGCCCCTGCCTCCACTCACAGTCATGCCTGCCTCTGTGTGAGGATCCAGGCCTCGATCACTGCCACCAGGGAAGGGGAGGGGGCCACTTCCTTAGTTCCAGTGCTTCCTGGGGATCCAGCCCCCCCATCTTCTGATGTATAGCTGCATGGATTTCTCATTCTGGTGTGCTGTGCAAGGAGTCCTTTGTTAGTCAATCCATGCTCTCCTGGTTGTAATTTAGAGGGGAGAGACAAAGGGAACAACTTATTCCACCATGATGCCACCATCATTCCCGTGGAATTTTCCCAACTTTTAAAAAATTGTGGCAAAATGCCATAACATAAAATTCTCTATTTTAATATGTACAATTCAGTGACATTTGGTCCATTCACAATGTTGTGCAACAATCACCATTATCTAGTTCCAGAACATTTTCATCACCCCCGAAGGAAATGCCACACCCTTTTAGCAGTTGCTCCCAATTCACTAGCCCCCACAACCCCCAGTTCCTGGCAATAACTAACCTGCTTTCTGCCCCTGTGGATTTGCTTATTCTGGTCATTTCATATTCACATTTATTTTGATAGTTGTATGTATGAATTATCTATCACTGCATAGCACATCATTCCAAAATGTAGCGGCTTAAAGCAACATTTATTATCTCACAGTGTCTGTAGGCCAGGAATCTGGGTGTCCCTGGCTGGATCCTCTCACTCCAGGTCTCACAGAGCTGTGATTAAGGTGTTGGCCAGGGCTGGTTAGGGCTTAAGTAGAAGAGGATTTGCTTCCACACTCACTCAGGAGGTTGTTGGCAGGATTCAGTTCCTTGCTGGCTGTTGGCCAGAGACCGTGATGGCCGCATGAGCCTCTCCATAGGGCAGCTCATAACATGGCAGCTGGCTTCATCAGCATGAGCTAGGGAGAGGAAGAGTAGTGAGGCAAGATGGAACTCACCGTCTTTCACAACCTAGTCTTTGATATGACATCCAATTTCTTTTTCTGTATTGTCTTGCTAATTCTTTTGATAGATGCAAGTCGCTAGGTCCAGCCAACACTCAAGAGGGGAGGAGACCTAACAAAGTCTTTAAGTGTAGGAGTCTCTTGGGAGTTATCTTGGAAAGCTGTCTGCCACATTATTATTATGATTGTTAAATTTTCACAATCATATATTCCTCCCTGGAATACCTGATCCTTTTCTCCGTGCTTACCTCCAGGATGAAGGATTTCAGGCCTCAGGAGCTGAAGAACCCCATGGAGTGACTTATGTTGAGCTAGACACCAAAGCCCTACGTGAGGGCCCTTCCAGCCAGAGGAAGCAGCCTCTGGAAACCTGTGTGTACTCGGTCCTTAAGACATAGCCAGGAGAAGATCTGGAGCCTGGAAGAAAGAACTTCTGACAAGGGAATGGACAGTGGGACAGAGGTCCCTTGGGGGACCAGGCAAATGGGGATCCCTTTCCTCAAATTTCCAATAAAGACTTGTTTCCTTCTTTTAAAAAATTATTTTTTAAAAGTGAGAGGTATCATTTACATAGAGTAATATGCCAATGATATGACCCAGGATGGGGGGTCTGATCATGCCAGGCAGACCAACCATGTGATTAGAGGGTTAGGACTATGAGCCCAGAGATATCAGCCTGACCACTGGGAAACAAAGGGAGGCTGGAGATAGATTCAGTCCTGTGGACAGTGATTCAATCAACTATATCTACGTGAAGAAATACCAATGAAAACTGGACAGTGAGGCTCGGGGGAGCTTCCTGGTTGGTGACACACTTTGATGTGCTGGAAGGGTGACACATCCTGAGAATATAGGAAGCTTCCCTTTTGGGACACTCCCAGACTCCACCCTATGTGCCTCTTCATTTAGCTGGTTCTGATTTGTATCCTTTCTAATACAATTATAGTCATAAGTATGGCACTTTATGGAATTCTTAGAGTGGTTCTAGCAAAAATTATTGAATTTGAGGGGTATAGTGGGAACCTACAAATTTTTAGGCAGTTGGTCAGAAGTGTAGGTGGCCTGGGAACACCTGAACTTACAGCTGGTGTCTAAAGTAAGGATACTCTTGTGAACACTGTGTGCTTAAACCATGAAATCTGTGCTAACTCCAGGCAGTTAGTGTCAGAATTACATTGCAGCTCAGAAGTAGATCCTTCCCCAGTCAAGCTCTTGGATTAGACCCCAGCCATCGTTGACACCTTGACTGCAGCACCTAGAGGATCCTGCTAGGTTGTGTCTGGATTCCTGGCCCACAGAAATGATAAGATAATAAAGGTGTATTCCTCAAGCCACGAAATTTGTGGTAATATTGTTACACAGCAATAGATAACTAATACTCTCACTAGATCCTTCTTTGCTCCTTTCCATAGAACAATGCCCGAGACAAGGAAACACCTTCATCACTGTGGGGTTTGATGGGGGAAGCTTCAAAGGATTTTCTGGAAAGGGAATGGGCTTTTGAGACAGACAGAGCTGAGTTCCAATTCCTGCACCTGCCTCTCCTACTTCTCTGTCTTGAGTGTGGGAATCTGCCTTGCTGCACTTCAGTTTACGTATCTCCAGCTAATTCGGCCCAAAGAAATTTTACCGAGTACAATTTGGCAGGAGGCACACTAGTTCACCTGTCTGGTGAAGTTGGCAAATTGGTCAAAATGTAGGTAAGTTGGGATTTACATTTTTAAGTTGCAGAGACATAAATACTTTTAGACCTAGAGACAGAAGTCAGTGGGGGTGGCTCAGTAAGCTGATATAGCAAAAAAGGAAACAGAAGCTTGCAGTTTCAGACCTTCCGATAATTTCGGTTCTCAGTGACCCACTAAGTAAGAGCCTATGAGTCACACGCAAATTTTATGAGTCGAAAATGATTTTAAGTGAGGTCACCATGATCTCAGAAAATGACTGCAAACTCCAAAGAACTTGGTGCAAGTTCCATGCACGATGGTTATTCCAGGACTGTGCTTTGGGGGTTGATTCCAGCAAGAATTGCTGTCAGCTATTTTGCTGATGTAAAAATGTACCCCATGATGCCAACCCCTGGTCATGGTATGAAACATAGTGATTCATAGTGTTGCTTTGTAACCATGGGTCCAGGACTCTGGTGAGGTTTGTATCAGCGTATCAGCATTGTTTATTGGTACACGTCAAAGTTATGATTTAAACTTTGTCTTCTGAGACCCCAGAAGGTTCTGCCATCAGGGCTGGCAATGTAGCAAGAATACACCAATGTGACCATCATGGAAAAAGAAACCCCAGCTAAGGCTTCAGTTTCCTGGTTCTGCGATGTTTTGTGAACATGGTGGTAGCTTCTGACCCAAGAGAGAAAGCCCATCCATGCAGCTCTGATAAAGCGGAGAAAACTGGGGCTCATGCCTGGTGTCTGGGGATTCTTCCTGCCTGAGATGCATGTCCTCATTTTAGTGCTATACGTATATCGCTGCCACATTGTATCTCTGTCCTGTAACACACAGTAGATCCATCAGCATTAGCCTTCTGGGTTCTATGAGTCTTATTTAGCAATTGAACTCTGACTGCCACAGTTAAGCAAAGGGACCATTAGGCAACATCCTTAGGTCTTAGCCAGGAGGCAATGTCTAGCAACCTGAAAGTTTGCCCAGGGTTTCCAAAATTCTCAACAGCGAAGTGCCTTCATCACCTCAGTAGGAATCCTTCAGACCCAAGCCTTACGGATTTGGGGGGGTCACCTGTTTGATGCTTGAAATTTGACTAAGGTGAGGATTTTCTGTGAGGCAAGTTCTTAAAGATTGGCACGGGAGGAACATGTCGCAATCAGCAGCATTAACACGTTTCCGGAGAGTGGCTGTGGGAGGAGGGAACTGGAAGATCAGAGAAAAGTCATTGCTGCCCACAGTCTGGAGGCGGGGGTGATGCTGTGACCATTCCAGCTTTTCTCCCTCCTGTGGACAGCAAAACTGAAGGACACTGGACAGGCGGACATGCTACTATGATCCCTCGACTCCTTTCCCTCCTCTGTTTCAGTAAGTCTCACGGGGCAGTACATGGGGACTATAGAAAATAACGTAATTGGTGAGTGGTTTGGATTGGGGATGAAAGAGAAAGAATAACGTCAACTTTGGTTTATTGAGTGCATATTATGTAACAGAAATCTTGCAGCATATACGTGACCTCTAAACCAGTGCCTTCCAAATTTCAGTTACTCTTGTTCCAACGTCGTGATTTTTGCTGAATGCCTCTACCACCTGTACTTTATTGGCTTAATGTCTTTCTTAATAACGACTCAGGTTTTTTGCTTAAATAAAAGTATTTAAGGTAGAAACTTTGTATCAATAGTATGAATAAAAATCCAGTGTCCCATCATAGGTAACAATAAAGTAAATGCAGGGAGAGGAAACAGTGTTAGGATATTCTAACTATAGACTGTTCCTTGTCAGGCTTCTGAACCTGAAACTTGCTATTTCTTTGCTACAAAGGCAATTAGCCATGATTGAGATATATGAGAGGCTAGCTTCAAATAGGCTTTCTTGTTGATGTCATCAAAGGCACTATGAGAGTGTTTATTGCATGCTGTCTTGTAATGCTTGAATCATCCTTACTTCCACCTAAAACCATCACATATCACCCCAATGGGATGTATTCCACCTTTGGAAAATACCACCCTGATCCTTCAAAAAACAAATCCAAAAACCCTCCAAGAAACAATTAGGTCCACAATTAGGTTTATAGATTAGAAATCTAATCTGAGTTTGCAAAGCAAAGTGACTTGCCTCAGATTGAGGAAATGGTACGCAAGGAAGCCAAATTTGACCCCACACCTTCCCTGCTCCGAAAATGCTGTTTACACTCAATCACGATGTTAAACTAAGAGAGACATGTATGTGGAGTCCTTGGTATGGAATCATCTAGGAGTGTTTGAAAGGACTTTGGTTTGGAAAAAGCTTGAGGAGGGAAAGACAAGTGGTTCAGAATGTCGCCAGCTATAGAAGTAGAAGGCAACTCCAACAAATTGGTTTTCAGACACCAATAAAGCTTGACATCCTCAGAAAATCAGGGGAGGAGCACTGGCCTTGGCGTGATCATTTGTGCTTGGCTTTCTCCTATCGCCACAATTCTCTGATCCCAAGACTGTAGGCTCCCGCATGGAGTGTTCCTTACATCAGAGGCTTGTCTTAGGAAGACACGTCTAGTTGTGTCTTCGGAGGGAATTGTAGGCATGCAGTGAATACAGTATATTTTCTGGAGACTCAGCTCCTGCACACACTATTTGTGGGGCCATAGTCATGTGTTTGGGAAACACATGTCAGTATTTAAAAGTTCCCTCAGCTTCCAGGGTTAGCTTCACTATTAGGTTCAAGTAGGCATGATGTGAGGCATGCTCAATAAATGATATTTTTTATGTTGAGTATTCCTTTTGTCATTCATTCTCCTCCTGTTTGGCTAGGCACCGATTCCACTAGCAATTCCTTCCAGAGATCTTTCCTAGATGCATGTATGAAACATTTCATTCCTTTTTACTGCTGAATAGTATTCCACTTAGGTATCCATGTATCTATACATTCTGTTTACGTATAGACCACATTTTGTTTGTCCACCCATCTGTTGATGGTCTCCTGCACTGTTTCCACCTTTCAGCTATTCATTATATTCCTCTCTTCCATGAGAAGGTTAACCTTTCCCTTTCCATTTTGTCTTTGAGAGACAGTGAGTCTTGCTTAACGGACTTCCTGCTTCTCCCCAAGTAATGAGGCCTCTGAGCAGGCTTCCTGCTTTCAGTCAGGTATGTCCTGCTGAAGACAGAGATGAAATCAGATGAGATGTTCTGGGGCCTGAGAGTGTATGGTAAATCCCACATGACCCAAGGGAGTGTGGGGCCATTGTCTACCAAGCTCCACAAAGCACTCAACCCCTTTCAGCTAACAGAGCACAAGAGGCATTTGAAGCGGTCCCTGTCCTCCCTCAAAGGTGTTTGAGATCCAAGTGTCTTAAGGAGTGCAGGAGGGGGTAAACAGAGAAGGGGCCAGGATGGCAAAGACCCTGAATTCCCACAGACCCCAGAATGTCCCATGAGTCAAGAGAAAGCACCTCCTAACTTTTGACTGCTAATCACAATTCTCTCGTGAGTTGTTCCACAACATCAAGAATTTATTTATTTTCCTTAATTTTATTTTAAGTCACATTACACTCCCACTTTCTCTGGGCATCCCATACAATCTACAGACTTTCTAAGTTCCTAAGATTTTACAATCTCTTGCAGAGAAGCACTTGAATTCTCACCCTTCACTTTGCTCTTTGCCAGGACATGAGGCTGATATTTACTGATAATCTTCCACCTGTTCTGCAGAGTGGCACCAACTTTGCCCACTCAGCATGATCCATTAGAAGGGGAGAGGCTCTGTGCTGTGGGTTCCACTTCCCCTTTGCCAAGCAGGGCAGTAGAGACAAAGATCCAGGCTCTCAGGACTTTGATGCTCAGAGACCAGGCTCTCTATTCAGAGTTCAGGGTCATGCTGCTTCCCAGGTGTGACTCCTAGTGGGTTCAGGTGTCCACAGGTGTCTGCTCTCTCAAACTTTTTCCTTTTCCGTTCTCTGTGGATTCACTGACTGTAAGACGGAGTTTTCTTTTCACTACCTTAAACACGTCTATTCAGTTCCTCTTTCATTATGGTAAAATATACATAAATAATATTTGTCCTTTAAACCAGTTGTAATGCGTAGTTCAGCAGCATTAAATACATTCACAGTGCTGTACAACCATCACTCAAAACTTTTTCATCACTCCCAACATAAACTCTATCCTCATTAACCAATAACCCATTTTCTCTCTCTCTCCCCAGCCCCTGGTAACCTCTATTCTACTCTCTGTCTCCATGAATTTGCCTATTCTAGGTACTTTGTGCAAGCGAAGTCATACAATATTTGTCCTTTTGTGTGGCTAGCTTCACTTAGCATAATGTTTTCAAGGTCCATCCATGTTGTTGCATGTGTCAGAATTCCATTCCTTTTTATGGCTGAATAGTTTTCCATTGTATGTATAGACCATGTTTTGTTCATTCATTCATCCTTTGATGGACACTTGGATCTCTTCACATTTATACTTTTCTTTTTCAAAAAGTGAAATGTAGTATTTTTGATCAGTCCATGAATTCTAGGACAAATACCTGGTAACTTCTCCTTTTTACTAAGACACAAAACTGTTTCGTTCACACAGCGGAAAAAGAGGAAATCTCTTAGAAACACAAGCCTAACCAACATCTGTTGAGTTAGAACAATCTCTTTCTTACAATATTGTTCATAAATAGGATTGATGTTAATTTTATTTATTTATTTTTACTTTTTTATGAGGAGATCAGCCCTGTGCTAACATCTGCCAATCTTCCTGTTCTTTTTGCTGAGGAAGACTGGCCCTGAGCTAACATCCATGCCCATCTTCCTCCACCCTACACGGGGCGCCGCCACAGCCTGGCTTGCCAAGCAGTGCGTGGGTGCGCACCCGGGATCCGAACCAGTGAACCCGGGCTGCGCAGCAGAGCACGCGCACTTAACCGCTTGCGCCACCGGGCGCAAGATGTTAATTTTAAAGAGATCTCTGCACTCAGTCAAAATGTATTTACCACATTTGAGCATTAATGGCAGGATGGTTGTGAATGCTCAGAGATGTACATAATCACTTCCATTTGGAAGTTTCCTTCTAATCCAGTTGACTTTGAATATCTATGTTGCAGTCTTGAGAAATGTTTTTCCAGGTTCAGATACAGCAGTGGTTCTCCACCTTGGCTGAATACTTGTGGGGGAGATTTTGAAAGTTTGGGGCCTGAGCCCCATCCCAAGCGATTCTGATTCAAAGCTTTTGCGGTTTAGTCTGTGTACCGGAATTTTCAACAGCCCACTCCCCGACCAGGGGAGAACAATGAGTAGCCAAGATTAAGAAACAATTGGGTTGGAGTATCCTGCAAATGCACCTGAATTTGAGACAGGGGAGGATTGTATGTTTTCTCCTTTCTGGAATAACCATTTGGATTTGTGTGTGTGTGTGTGAGGAAGATCAGCCCTGAGCTAACATCCATGCCAATCCTCCTCTTTTTGCTGAGAAAGACTGGCCCTGAGCTAACACCTGTGCCTATCTTCCTCCACTTTATGTGGGACGCCACCACAGCATGGCCTGACAAGCGGTGCATCAGCGCACGCCCGACGTCCGAACCCAGGCCACCAGCAGCAGAGCGCATGTGCTTAACTGCTACGCCATGGTGCTGGCCCCGCCATTTGGATTTTTAGAGGCTTGTTTCAGGGCACAAAGCAGTAACCTTTGTCCTGTCTGGAGTATCAAAAGATGAAAATAGATAATGGCAAAGATTGGATCAGAAAACTTTCAGATTAAAGGCTGAGGTTGACTGAAGTGGCTCTTCCAGTGATAGGACTTGCTCCATCTTTGAGTCAACCTTACTCACCAAGTTTATGTTGGTAATTATGGTGAGCTTTGGAAAAGGAATTAACCTAGTGAGAGAAACATGGGGAGTTATGGAGAGGTTGCATCCTTTTATCCTGGCAAAATCTCTCAATCATGCTTAAATGGGGGCATCTCAGCAGTCAGTCAATGTGCATTTGCAGAGGTCCTACTACGTGCCAGGACCTGCACAGTCACTGGGGATGCTGAGGTGAGTAGCATAGGATCCCTGCCTTCCAGGTGCTTGCAGGGAGTGACATCTGGTGTCTCCCGTGGTATGTGTTATGTAAACTTCTACGAACTCTGTTAAGAAATTACAACCAAATGGTTCTGTCTTAATTCATGTCACTCAAGGCACCAAGAAGCCTTTCTTATGGTGTTTATTCTATCACAGATGAGAATTTCAGGAGATGCTCAGGCCTGCTTAGGGCCTTAGAACATCAGAGGTGGGTGAGGGCCACATTCATGTCCCTGGCTTCCCCAATCTCCCTCATGGTTCATGCCTCCGACCCAAGACTGAGAGATCTAGAAACTATAACACAGGTTCTAATAGAAATCCAAGTCCAAGAGTGGTTCAGGAGAGAATATGACAATAGTAGGATTTGTGGAATTTGGTGGAACCAAGAAAGGTCCTGTGGAGAGCCAACCTCAGTGGCCTAGTGGTTAAGTTCAGCATGCTCCACTTTGGAGGCACGGGTTCAGTTCCCCAGTGCAGACCTACATTTCCCGTCTGTCAGTGGCCATGCGGTGGTAGTGGTTCACATACAAAAAGAGGAAGAATGGCAACAGATGTTAACTCGGGGCAAATCTTCCTCAGCAAAAATAAAAAAAAAAAAGAGAAAGTTCCTGGAGACTTGGGAGGTGACAGCAGCACAGCAAAACCTCTGTGAGAAATGATGGAGGAACTGAGGACAGCGATGAAGCCAGAGTCCAGCATGGAGACATGAAAACTTCCAAATGCAGGACCTCCAGGTGTTCCTTCTCAGCAAGAGCCCCTGGGATGGTTCCTCAGGTATCAGAGCAGGTGACGGTGTGGGCTTCAGGCAGGTGCATATGTGTCATGGACCTTTCTCTTGCAGGGCTGTGTGTTGGCCAAGGAAACATAAGAGGAGATGGTGAGCGTTTCTTTAATTAAACCCTTCTTGATCCTTCATCCCCAAAGGCCCCATTTTCCTTTCCCTTCTGTAAATGGGCTTCCTGAGAGCAGGTGAGTAAATCAAATCCAGCCCTGGACTCTGCTTCCTTCCAGGGTCACTTCCCAAGCCCTCTCTCAGTGCCTGGCCCAGCTCAGTGGTACCTGCCAAGAGTAACGTGACACTGCGATGCTGGACTCCTACCAAGGGTGTAAACTTTGTTCTCAGAAAGCGAGGAACTCCTTTGGAGTCCTTGCAGTCACCTGATTCCACAGTGGTTCTGGGTGAATTTTACCTCACTGATCTAAAAACCAGTAATGCTGGAGAGTACACCTGTGAATACTACAGAAGAGGGAGCCCACACACAAGTTCTCGGCCCAGTGATGTCCTTCTACTGCTGGTGACAGGTGAGCAGGGGTTTTCAGAATGGTACATGGTCTTTCAGTTACAGAGGTGAGGGAGGAACCAGAGGAAGAGAGGGGGCAGGGGCTTTCATATTCAGTGCCGTTGGGGAGGGAGATGGAGAAAGACAGGAACAGAGTTGATTACCTTGGCTTTATCCAAGGCTTGTAGGAGGGATAATCTCATTCCCAGAGTCAGAGTAGAAAGAGGGTGAGAAGAGCTATCTGTCATTCCCCACACTCCATGGGAACCCCCTGCCAGGAGAGCATGGATGAGTGGGGGACCCCAGGCTCCTCCTCATGACTTCGGAGCCTTCTTTCTCTTACAGGAAATTTACCTAAACCTTCCCTCCAAACCCACCAAAGGGGTATGGTGACTGAGGGAGAAAAGGTGACCCTACAGTGCCAGAAACCAGATTTTGGGATTGTCCCTGTAATGTTTGCTCTACTGAAGGCAGGATCTTCAATGCCCATCCAGCTCCGGAGTCCAGCAGGGAAGGAGACAGACTTCTCCCTACAGAGTGTGACAGTCAATGACACAGGGAAGTACAGTTGTGTGTACTACCAGACAAGGGCTCCTTTCTGGGCCTCAGAACCCAGCAATCATGTTGAGGTCCAGGTGACAGGTAAGGTTTGGCATGATTTTGAAGAATTTATTTTTCACTAAATAAGAGATTGTTGATTCTCTTTCCTGATTCTCATTTCTACGTCACTTGCACTATCGTCTCATTTTAACATCTTTCATTTCCTAATTTCTGCTCCTTTGTCTTTTTTTGTTCTGCATTCTTGAATAATTTCTCAAGCTGTTCTTCAAACTTATCAATCCTTCTGTCAGCAGAATTCCTTCTATTGTCCCTGCATCTGTCAAAGTGTTGGTTTATCTTGGCAATAGTGATTTCATTCCCAACAACTCTTTTTTGTTCTCAGAATGTGGTGTTCCTAGAGCCTCCTGGTTTAGGGTGGTGGATGCAATATCTTTTCCTATAACACGGCACTTACTGTTAGAATTCTTCTGAGATTATCTTGTTATGAAAACACATAACAGCAAAGATTGGATCAGAAACCTTTAAGGACTAAGGCTAAGGATGTCCAGCCAGCACTTTCCCATGATAGGGCTTCCTCTGTCTCAGCCAACTCTTTACCCCACCAAATGGATGTGGGTCATTATGGTGTGAGGTTGGGATGGGTCAACCCGGTGGGAGGAAGAAAGGAAGATGTTGTAAGGTTGCATCTTTTCATATGCTGGTAAAATCTCTCAATCATGCTTAAATGGGGGCATCTCAGCAGTAGGTCAGTGGGCATTTGTAGAGGTCCTACTATGTGCCAGGACCTGCACAGACACTGGGGATGCTAAGGTGAACAGCACAGAATCCATGCCTTCCAGGTGCTCACAGGGAGTGACATCTTGTGTCTCCCATGGTATGAGTTACATAAGCTTCTTTGAACTCTTTTATGAAAGTACAACCAAATGGTTCTGTCTTAATTCATGTCACTGAAGGCACCACGGAGCCTTTCTTATAGTGGTTCTTCTATCGCAGATGAGACTTTTGGGAGATGCTCAGGCTTAATTAGGGCCTTAGAACATCACAGGTAGGTGAGGGCCACACTCACATCCCAGTTTCCCCAGTCTCCCTCATGGTTCATGCCTCCTACCCCTGGGGTCGGGGGGGGGGGTGCTATTAGAAACTATAACACAGGTTCTAATAGAAATATAAGGTTAAGAATTGTTCAGGATAGAAGCTGAGAATAGGAGGATTTGTGGAATTTGGTGGAACCAGGAAAGGTCTTGGAGCCTTGGGAGGTGACAGTAGCACAGGAGAACCTCTGTGAGAAACGATGGAGGAGGTGAGGGCAGAGATGAAGTCAGAGTCCAGTATGGAGACAATGAGAACTCCCAGATGCATAACCTCCAGGCGTCCCTTCTCAGCAAGATTCCCTGGAATGGTCTCTCATGGATCAGGGCAGGTGATGGTGTGGGCTCCAGGCAGGTGGGTATGTCTCATGGACCATTCTTTTCTAGGGCGGCATGTTGGCCAAGGAAACATAAGAGGAGATGGTGAGTGTTTCTTCAATTAAACCCTCCTTGATCCTTCATCCCCAAAGGCCCCATTTTCCTTTCCCTTCTGTAAATGGGCTTCCTGAGAACAGGTGAGTGAATCAAATCCAGCCTGGACTCTGCTTCCTTCCAGGGTCACTTCCCAAGCCCTCTCTCAGTGCCTGGCCCAGCTCGGTGGCACCTGCCAAGAGTAACGTGACACTGCAATGCTGGACTCCTACCAAGGGTGTAAACTTTGCTCTCAGAAAGGAAGGAATTGCTTTGGAATCCGTGCAGTCACCTGATTCTGTAGAGGGCCTGGGTGAATTTCACCTCACTGATCTAAGAAACAGTAATGCTGGAGAATACACCTGTGAATACTACAGAACAGGGAGCCCCCACACAAGGTCACAGCCCAGTGATGTTCTTCTACTGCTGGTGACAGGTGAGGAGGGGCCCTCAGAATGGCACATGGTCTTCCTAGGGACAGGAGATGAGGGAGGAACCAGAGGAAGAGAGGGGGCAGGGGGGGTCTTATCTCCAGTGTAGTTGGGGAGGGCGAGATGGAGAAGGACAGGAACAGAGTTGGTTACGTTGGCTTTATCCAGGGCTGAGAGGAAGGAGAATCTCATTCTTGGCATCAGAGCAGAAAGAGAGCGCGATGCGGTATCTGTCACTCCCCACATTCCACGAGAACCCCCAACCAGAAGAACACAGGCGAGTGGGGGACCCCAGGCTTCTCCCCATGACCAAGGAACCTCCCTTCTCTTACAGGAGATTTTCCTAAACCTTCCCTCCAAACCCATCAAAGGAGTAAGGTGATTGAAGGAGAAAAGGTGACCTTGCAGTGCCAGAAGCCAGAGACCGTGACTGGGACTAAAATGTTTGCTCTACTGAAGGCAGGATCTTCAATGCCCATCCAGCTCCAGGGTCCAGCAGAGGAGGAGACAGAATTTTCCCTTCAGAATGTCACAGTCAACGACACTGGGAAGTATAGCTGTGTGTACTACCAGACAAGGGTTCCTTTCTGGGCCTCCCACCCCAGTGATCACCTTGCAATCTGGGTGACAGGTAGAGTTTTACATGATTTTGAAGAATTTTTTAAAAACTTAAATAAGAGATGGTTGATCTGTCATCCTCTGATTCTCATTTCTACATCACTTGCACTATCATCTGTTTTAACATCTTTCATTTCCTAATTTCTACTCTTTTGCCCTTTTTGTTTCTGCATTCTTGGATAATTTCTCAAGCTGTTCTTCAAACTTATCAATCCTGCCATCCTCAGAATTCCTTCTACCACTCTCTGCATCTCTCCAAGTGTTGGTTTATCTTGGTGATAGTGATTTAATTCCCAACAACTCTCTTGTTCTCCGAACTTGGCGTTCCCACAGCCTCCTGCTTTAGGGTGATGGATGTAATAACTTTTCATATCTCACGGAACTTACTGTTAAAATTCTTCTGACGTTATCTTGTTTCCTGCCAGAATTTTGCCCAACTGGATGCCACACATTCTACGTTTTCAGCTTTGCACATTTTTCTTTATTCTGTTGAGTTCCCAAGTAATCAGTGAATGTTTTATAGTTAGAAATAGAAGTCTCCGTGATCAGTACTGTGAGGTGGAGAGGGTGTCCTGATCATGGCAGTGTCATTATATATTTCTCCCTCTGGATTTTGTCTTCAGGGAAAATTGTTGTTGATGGGTTCAGAGATGAACTTTGCGCTAATTGGGATGTGTGAAGTGGGATCATAGAAATGCAGGCTTCTCTCCAGGAACCAGGGCCAATGCCAAGCTTGAGCCCTTCTTGAGTGAAGTTGAAATGAAATGCACAGTGGTCCAGATGTTTAGCTCCTAAGCTCAAATTTTCTTAAGCTTGTTGCCTCATAAAATTTTGTGCTATGAGGAGAGATGCAAATGCAGCCACTGAATTATTTCAGTGTTCTGTGGGGCATCTTTGGTTTTTTGAGTAGCTCCTAAGATGAATTCCTAATATACAGAGGGAGAAGGGAAAAAGGAAACATGAGAAGGTGGAAATGAGATAAAGTGCAAATAAATGAAAGAAGAGAGATAAGGTGGAGGAATACAAAGAGATGAAGATTAAGAAAGAACCACTACAGCTCTCATAAAATCCCACATCTTGTTCTCAGTGATTAAAACTTCAGTGAAGGTAGTGCGGACCACTGACAGGAAATACAAGTGGGCGTGTGAGAATCTCATTTGGGAGATCCATTTGAGAAGGAGGGATACTGTTTTACAGCTGGTGCTGACCCTCTTCTCTCTTTCCTTTTCCCCAGATGCCACATCAAGAGATTACACCATGGGGAACCTCATCCGACTGGGTGTGGCTGCCTTAATTATGGTTATTACGGGGGCTCTCCTGGTTGAAGCCTGGTGTTGCCAGAAGGAGTCTCCACAGGGATCCAGGTAAAACAACTGAACACTTCTTTTTTTCATGGTCTGTTATAGAGGTGGGGGTCTTTAAACACCATACTTTACCTTGGGAACTTATGTTTCACAATATGGCCACAAAGGGCATTTTAGGTGGGGTTTTTCTTCACCATGTGTGACTGTTCTGTTCATTGTGGGAACATTTAGTATCTCTTTTCATTTCCCTTTAAACAGCAGTTGAATCCCCAATCACTGTGAAAGAAGCAAAAAGGCAAGTATTACCATACCCCTTTAAACATCCCTGGATACGGAGGACGGGGAGAGGGGTGGTGTTTTTCTTGTTTGAGAACCTGTGTTTGGAGGCTGTGAGAAGTAATAACCCACCTCTTCCTCACTTCTTTGACCTTAAGTCTGTCCTTCTCTACCCACAGGCCTCTCAGCTGCCGGAGTGGGGAAGATGAGTTCTTGATCAAGCTGGACCTGCTGATTCTTAACATTCTCAGCTCTACTGAGAGCCACTCCAGGATGAGAGGGTGGCTTTCTTCTCCCTGTACTGTTCACTTGGGGCAGACAACAGGACCGAGCATAAAGACTCACCTAATATGCTTTGAATGACTTGAAAAAATACTTAGAACTTCAGAGTCAGGCTGGGTGGCAAGTTCGGTTGCATCTGCAGGAAGCGTTCTTCCCTTGAAAAGTGGAGAAAACACTGCTTCCTATATACTTATTATTTCTTCCCCTCCATTCTCTCTATTTTGTTCTGGACTAGCAACTAGTCAAATATTAAAATTTATGTATTCATCATACATGTCTTTTAAATTTTATTTCATATGTTTCCAACATTTTACCTAATTTTGGGAGAATTCCACTCTATTCCATGGCATCCATTTGCTCTTGAGTTGTACCCAGTATTTCTGGTGCAGGTGTAAAATGCCATCCACTATATTTTTACCTTCAAGATCTGTGGCTGTTTCTTGTTAATAATCTTGTTCTTTTTCATAAATACTCATTCTCATTTTAGAAGTATTATCTCATTTCTTATAACTCATGAGATATGCTTTTCAAAACCAAGTTCTGGTTGTAATAGAAACAATTCTCTCAGACTTGAGTTCTTTGTTTCTTCTGCTTCCTTTCACTGTGTTGGCTTTCATCAGACCACGGATGAGTCTTGTTTCTTCTCTCATCATTAGAGTTGAGATCCTCCTTTCACGGCTGCTGCCATTGTGTATAAGATTAGGTGAGGGCAGCCTGTCTTTGTCCTCTGCACTCTTCAGGGTGCTGGTGGGGAAGGCTGGGCTGCATATCTTGTGACTGGCATTCTCAGTGTGGAGCTCCTGGTAGCCTCAGATACCAGGAGAATTTTTCTATCCCTTCCACTCAATTAGTAAAACTCATGATTCCTACTGAGAATAGACCCCTTTGGCTGCTACCTGGTCAAGAGCCATCAAAATGGACAGAACTCTGGATTTACAGCCAGTATGGGTGGAGTACATCAGACAGACCCTGACTGCTCACTCCAGAACAACCTCTTGCTGCAGTCCCCCCCTTGGCCACACATGGAACAGCTTTGATGATGCTCCCACTCCGTAATGTGTGACTGTCCACGTCTATTTTACATTGTGTTTTTCCTCTTTAATCAGATCTCACTTGTAAACCTTTTATTTTGAAATCATTATAGATTCACAGGTAGTTGCAAAAATAGTAGACACTTGTACCCTTCAGCCAGTTTCTCCCGGTGGCTCCATTATACATCCATTACAATATGAAAACCAAGAGGGTGACATTAGTACAACGTGTGAGTACAGTTCTACATCATGTTATCACAGGTTTAGATTCTGTAGCCACAAGCACCATCAATCCACACACTGATCTAGTCCATCACCATAGAGACAGTCCTCATGCTGTGCTTCTACACCCACCTCTCTTCCCAGCACCATTCTTCCACCCTGGCAACCGCTCATTTTTTTCTCCATCTCTATAGTTTTGTCATTTTCAAAATGGTTTATGTGATACCACCTGGTTTTCATTTCATGCATGTGGTTGCGACATCAAACCTGTGGGTCACATGAGAGGAAGGTAGGGATGGGCTGGAGCAAAGATTCCACCACCCGCATCAGGCTTTCCACTCTCCTGTGGCTACAGAACTGAAGGACCCTTAGAACACACTGTAGGGCCAGCATGATCCTTGAATTCCTTTCCCTCCTCTGCTTTGGTAATTTTCTTAGGATTGATCTATTGAGATTCGAGATGAGGGTGGATTGACTGATTGAGAGATGTGAAGAATACAAAAGAAATAACCACATTGGCTTGTATGTATTGGTTGCTTCACACATGTCAGAACCCATGCTGGAGGCTTTATATCCATTTACCAATCAAGTGTGTTTCAGTATTCAAACAGGTACTACCCACATTCATGATGGTAAACTATACCTATGCCACCATTATGTATTTAACCCTTTATTGACCGCAAGTCAAGACTTTTTCTTTAAATAAATATATATATTTGAAAATGCAAAGTATTTGGTAATACTTTAAATATTAATGCAGTGTCACCTACAAGAAAGGAGGGTTAATATAAACATATAATCCAATGGAAAGGCAGATAATGTTAGGATATTCCAGTCTTATGCTGTTGATTGACAAGTTTCTGAGCCCACAGCTGACCACTTCCTTGTTACAAAGTTATTAGCCAGTGATAGAGGTGAATAACAGTAACCAGAAACTTATCTTTTCTCCCTGATGTGATCAAAAGGGCTTAATGTGATTTTAAAGGGAGATAATTTTCTGATGCTGTGTGATCAATGCTATAGAATACTGTGTCACTGCATCTCCTAAAACCATCCCACAGAGCGCCTGAGGTTCATATTCCACACTGTGGGAAACAGTACTGTGATCCTTTCAAAAAGTCCCTTGTGAGGGGAATCAGGCCCACATGGATAAGCGAGGATGCTGAGACTGAGAGCTGAGGATTCCTGCTCAGGGTCATGCAAAGAGTGAGCATAGAAGCAAAATGCAAGCTCTGGCCTGTCTGCCTCCAAAGTCATGACTGTTTCCACTTGGTTACAATGGGAAAGTAAGAGTGACACACGCATGGGGTCCTCAGAACTGAAGTGTCCTTGGGATGGGTGAAAGGATGTTGAGTTGGGGAAATTCTAAAGACATAAAAGAGGAGAGGTTCATTATGTAGTCACGAAAGACCATGTGTTCCATTATTCCACTCATACGAAAGTCCTGAATAGGGAAATCTATAGAGACGGAAAGTAGAGTAGTGGCTGTTTAGGGCTGGGGGAGGCGGATGTGGGGAAATATGGTTGTATAATCTAAAGAGTATGACATGATGTAATCTATGCAGAAATAGAAGTATAATGATGTACACCTGAAATTTATACAATGTTATAAACCAATGTTACTGTAATAAACAAAAAATTAAAAAAAAATAGAGTATTGGATGTCATTTCGAGGCCACGAAGATGCTTTAAAGTTGACTGTGTGATGTGTGCACATATCTGTGAATACAGAAAAGCTGCTGAATTATACACTTTGAATGGATGGATATTATGGTATGTGAATTATATCTCAATAAGCCTGTTTCAAAACATCCTTGAGTGTGGAACTGGGGTGCATCTCAGGATGTCTGTTTGCAAGAGCCAAGAATCCCTGGTTTCTTCACTCAGGACAGTGTGTGGTCTTGGTCACAATGACTTAGCCCTTGGTTCTCTCCACATCTCTCTGATCCCTAGTCTCTAGGATGGTTCTTACGGTTTTCTTTATGTCAGAACCTCATCTTGGGAAAAATGAAAGGAATTCCTTCCTTAGGACTTCTGATTGTGTTTCCAGGATCTGAGTGAATCCACCACACATTTTGGAGCATCCATTCCTGCACACACTGGGTGAGCTGCATTTGAAGTACATGACCTGTACGAGGGCCTGATTTCCTTATCTACACAATGAGGACAATGACGACAATCTGCAGGGCTATCTTCACGAGTAGAGAGCATGTATGTATAGTAAGATTATTGTTATTTCCATGGGAGAATGAATCCTTTTATCATCCCCTCTCCTCCCCCTGGCTCAGGCACTATATCTATGGGAAATTCTCTCCAGAGAACTCTCCATCATCTCTAAGTGAAGAAAGTAAGAGTTTTCCCTTCTTCTATCCTTGAGAGAACATGTGTCTTTCTTATTAGGCCCAGAGGCACCCCTTTTTGAGATAAGACTTCTGAGAATTGTCTCCTCTTATCCTCTGTAAGTGATGTGCAGAGTTGAGATGAGTTGAGATGTTCTGTGGTTGGGCAAGATGATTAGAAATCAGGTGGCTTGAGTCTTCATCCAACCAACATGTCCTTCCAAGCAAGTTAAGCAAAGCTCTCAAGCTTCAGACAGATACCTCCACCCCGGAGGCATTCAGAGGGTCCCTGTTCCTCATCAGCAGTGTCTGTAGTCTGAGTGTCTGCAGGAGTGAGTGAGGGGCTTGTGGTGAAGAGGCAGGAACTGAGGAGCATCTAAATATTTTAGAACACTGCATGATACTGAGCCAGGGAGATGGCACATTGAGAGCATTGGTCCTAACAGGAGTTCACTTAAAGTTGCTTCATGATGCTTTATGATGCTATCTTTCCTTAACGAAGCTTAACTTATAGGTTAAGCTGGATCCTTACACCTCAATCCCTCCCTCTGCCCTGATCTTTCAACAGCTATGTACACCTTAAAGAGCCTTCACATTCTTTGAGTCTCTAAGACATTGCACTCGCTCCCAAAGAAGAGATCTCATTTTCACCACTAAATCTGCTCACTTTGCTCCATGCAGTTCCATTAGGCTGACATTTGATGTGAGTCCTGACTTTCTATCCACAGTTACAGTCATATCTGAAGGGGCACAAATCCTGCCCACACAGCATGGTCCATCACAGTGGGGAAGGGTCTGTTCTGTAGGCTCCATCCACTCTGCAGAGATTGAGCAGGAGGGACAAGGTCCTAATTTTGATGCTCAGGGACCAGTCTCTCTAACCAGAGGTGGGGGTCATGCTGCTTCCGGAGCGCAGCCTCTGAGTGGGTTCAGGTGTCCACAGGCCTCTGCTCTCTCTACGTTTTTCCTTCTTTCATCCTCTG